AAAAAAAAAAAAAAAAAAGAATGAAAGACCAGTGAGGCCTACGCCCAGGCCAAGACTTGCATGGGTTTAAAGGTTTTTCCAAGTTTTCTTATTGGGGAATTTTCTACTGAATTGATTCCTTGGTTACACGCTGAGACCCCTAAATAATCCTATTCTTTTGTGCAGAGATCAATAATTACAATTCTTTAGAATTCAGTGAGGAAGAGGAGGCCCAAGAAGCAAGTGGCTCAGGACTTCAGATTGCAGCAGGTAAGAATATTAGAATGACAACTCCTGGACTATAGAATATCCAAAATCCAAATCCAGAGCTGTTTTTCTGATGAATTTTATTCTATGTGTCTTGATTCCACAACATATAGGAAATATTTTTGACATTTAATCTCTCTGGCCCTATTGGGAATGGAAGGCATCAGGAAGGCATTATAAACTGCTGTTTAATTGAACAGGTTCAATTAATAGACACATTGAAAAATAGTAGCAAAAATATACTAGTAAAATAAGTCTTTTTTACTATAAACTATTGTATTTACTAATACTAAGAGCTGAAATAATGTACTTATTTTCTACCACCACCCTTGATATTTTGTAGAGCATAGTAAGCACAGTATTCCTCTATTCATTGGTAATATAGTCATTACTCACATGCTTCAAAGAATAGTTTGTGTATATATATTTGAGTTGGAGTCTTTCTTTATCAATCAGACTGGAGTACAGTGGCACACATGGCTCACTACAGCTTTTGAAATCCTGGGCTCAAGTGATCTTCTGCCTTAGCCAAGTAGCTGGGACTCCAGGCACATGCTGCCATGCCCAGCTAAGTTTTTTTATTTTTTGTAGAGATAAGTTCTCGCTATGTTGCGCAGCTGGTCTTGAACTCCTGCCTCGGCCTCCCAAAGTGCTGGGATTGCAAGTATGAGCCACTGCACCCAGACTATTTATATTGATGGGAAAAATGACTTCGGGTACCCAAACTCAAATTATAGTTAAATCATTGGTTTACGTTATTTTTCATAGAACTTTTGTAAATAAAGCCTCATTTTGTCATCACAAAAACCTTAACAAGGAAGTAGAATAACCAGGTTATCCCAACTTTGTAGATGAAAAAACTGGAATTAGTGATGGTTAAGAATCATTTACGAATTCACAGGGAGGATTACAGAGAAAGCAGGGTGGAACCCAGCATCATGACCCTGGGCCTCTGGAACTGGATTCAGTAGAACAAAGAGAGCAAAATGCTCATCAAAACTTTGTTATGTATAAAAATCAAAAAAACAACAACCTTTATTATGATCACAACCCCATTTGCTATGTTGGTTGTCATCAAATTTATACAAACAGCAGTTTTTTTCCCCCTTTCACTTTACAGAGTCCATAGATTTCAGAAAATCAGTTACATTCAGAAAAAATATTAGGAAAAGAGGTAAGAGTTATAAATGAACAGTGTTTTCTATAAAATATTCAATCTAACTCTTTGCTATCTCCTTCAAAGTAAAATAAAAATTTGCTTTAATTTTAGATGGCTCACATTTTAACTTTTGTAGTAGGGTAGACTCATGTAACATACGTAAACAAAATCAATGACTCAAACCCAACAGAAGTTTTAAATTTTTAGAATATAATTTAGTATTTTTTCTTAACTAAATATTCCAAGGATTTGTAGATGGAGGAGGGGTGAGGCCCTGTTTCAAGTACTGTAGTTATTCAGGGAAGTAGCCAAGTAGATGATCTGCTTTCTTCAATACCAGACTTCCATAGCTGCCCCAAGAGAGAAGCAAAGCTACAAATAAATAAAATGCAGATGCAAAAACAACAAATCTACAAAGAAACAAGTAAAAGAAGACAGATAATGTGGTATAAGAAGAAGAGGCCAAGACAAAGCAGAGATGCCCACTGGGGGTGAAATTTTCTCAGCCTCAGGCCCAGGTGACAGTGAGGGATAAAACACTAACCTAAGGCCACATGAATTTGAATGAAGGCAGGTCACCGAGGTCTTAAGGCACAGGGATATTTTTGCCCTGGAATTTCAGAGCTTCCCAAGGTTTCCCTAGGTCCTGTTTATAGGATGTTCTTCTGTCTTGGTACCCATATCATACATTGAGACCTCCATGGGACATTTGTTTCTTTCTGCAGTGATTGGACAAGACCATAACTTTTCGGAGTTCAGTGAGGAGGAGGAAGAGCCCACAGCAGTTTTGAAGATGACACCAATAAGTGAGTGTGTAAGAATGGCCACCCCAGTTTCAGGAACCAGGAATTTGACTTCAGAGCATCGTACTCCAAGCATACAGCACATTCATGGTCCAGTAATTCCAGGAGCCCATTCTCTGCATCCACCTCACCTGGCCATTTTGCAAAATGCAAATAAATAAGTCATCAAAAATGCAGGCTTCACAAGATGGCTGTGGTTGAGTGGCAATGCCTTTTTACTACATACTGCCAGACCTATTAACCCCAAAGTACTAGATTTATACAGTGATTTTTATTTCTTCCCACCCCCTGTTTTGTAGAGAAAAGGAAGTGGGGTAGTCTGGTATTGCTTGATTTTGACACAAACTTACTAAAAGCTCCAAAGGCCCTGGTCATACTCTCTAATTATTGGCAGAAAGAAAGGCTCTCGTTATCACCATCAAATTCAATTCATAGCTTTTGACAAATGACCCCAAATATGACTTTGGCCAAATAATGACATTTGAAAACATCTTCACAAATACGATCTTATTTTCATCTTTACAAAAACCTGAAAGGCAGGTAAGATAACTATTGTTCCTTCCACTTCACAGATGGGAAAACAGGCACATGAATGCTTAAGGACTTTTTTGGGGGTTTCTTTACACATAATATATGGAAAGTTATAGGAAGGCATAGGACTAATAACCTGAACTCCTTGCAAACATCCGTAAAACTTTATTCAAAACCTTCAAAGCCAGATGTATTCCAAAGTTCAAAGATGTTTTATTATTTTAGAAAGACAATGTAGCTTATATTTTATATATTACAAAACACACCAATAAGCTCTGGGATAGAATCCCATTCTCAGATATACTCTATTAATGTTTCTACAGAAAATTGTATGACTATTCACACCAAATGTGCTAAGGTTTCACAAGGACTCATGACAGCTCAAATCCAGATTCACTGCCAAATTAGTTAGCTGCAAATCTATGAAAAAATATTATTTTCAAAGTGTCTTTGATTTTTCAATTAAGGCTAAAAGATCGAGGGTCTCTGCTCCATTTGGTGGTGATTCTATTCCTTTAGACAGGAAGAGGAATCCTCATAGTCCAAATCCTGTCTACAATGTAAGTAGTCATAAGATTTATAACTCCTTTAGTTATCGATTTTCTGTTTTGTTGTTCTTTACTTTCTAGATCCTGTGAATATTAGAAGCTCACCTTCTAGGAGGTCACACAAAAGACGTAAGAGCAATTAAAAACTTGATGTAAAAACTTGCTTTGCTATAAAAATTTCACTTAAAATTTTTGTTATACCCTTTAAAATAAAAAAAATTAATTTATTGGGATTTCATTTTACATTTTGAATGAGGTGGACTGGGCTAATTGATATAACATGTAGGCCTCAAAATGTTCAATGGTACAGGTGCAATACAAGTTTATTCTTCACTCACTTGAATAAGATAAAGTAGCTCCCGGGTGGAGGAGGTACCCACTACACCCAGTCATTTAAGGCACAGCTGATGGAGGCTCTGACATCTTTAAAATGTTGCCTTCGTGGTCCCCATGGATAAGAAACTGAGGTGAAAGCAGACGCATGTACAAACAAGTGGAGAGGGTAAGAAGTGTAAGAAATGGTGACAAAGGGGAATGCCTGCCATGGCAAAGTTCTCCCCAGCCCCAGGCCCAGCCCCAAGAGTGGCCTAGTGGTAGGAGTATTTCTATCCCTTCTACATGTGCTTCTCTTTTCTAATTTTCCTTTTAAAGAATGCCCTGCAGGATTGGTTCCTAAGACTCTGACCACACAGCGCAGCCATGGTCCAGTAATTCCAGGAGCCTATTCACCTAGCCACTTTTAACAATGCAAGGAAATTAGTCATTATAAATGCAGACTTCACAAGATGCTGTGGTTGAATAGCAGTGTCCTTTTTACAACATATTGCCAGATCTATTAATCCCAAAGTACTGGATTTACGTAGTGATTTCTATTTCTTCCCACCCCCTATTTCTTAGAGAGGAGGAAGTGGGGTAGTCTGCTATTGCTTGATTTTGTCACAAACTCATTAAAAGCTCCAAAGGCCCTGGTCGTACTGTAATTATTGACAGTCTTTCAAAAGAAAGACTTCTGTTAAGGAATTTTATTTCTTTCTGCAGGGTTAAGCAGTAGTGACTTTTCAGAGCTGAGTTCTGGAGAAGAGACTCAGAAAACCTACAGCTCAATCCTAAGAAGTGGTTCAGGTAAAGAAGATTAGGATGCCAAGCCTTGGCCTGCAGGATGTCAGGAATCTGAATTAAAAGCTACAGTTTGCAGATGCATTTTATTTAGAGCACCTTGACTACCTTGTATCCAGTTAATCCTGGGAATTCCTTTTGGGCATTCTAGAAAATGGAAGGAGGCAGGAAATTACCATAAATTCATGTTTAGCAAGATAAGTCCTAGAAACTAAATGTATGTCATTATATATTGCTGTTGTAGAAGAAATAAATAACAAGACAATGATATCTTTTTTAATATCTGCTGTCATTTCTACTAAGATCTTAGATTTTTATAGTGATATTGGTTGACATTAATGTCATTTGTAATTGTAAAAGCCTCAAAAGACAACTCTCCTTACTATGTAATTATAGACAGAAATAAAAGTTTCAGATCAAGTACTCTCAACCTTTAGTATAGTTTTTGACAGCTGAACATCACCATGTTACTGGATTGGATTGTGTTATTTCAAAGTACTTAGGCAAATAGGATCTTATTTGCTATCACAAAATCCTTAAGACTTAGGAAGGCTACCACTTGCTAGCCCCATTTTGGGATGAGCAAATAGAAGTACAAATGTGTGAGAATAAAAAAAAAAACCCAAGGAAACAATAGGGTCTAGCAACCTAAGTCTTTCACAGTGAGTGACTGTTATGTGTAAGAGACAGGAGGATGAGAGCTGTGTCGCACGTGAGTCAGAGTCCAAAGAGGAGGCACGGGAAGCCTGGAATACTAACAGGAGACTATACCAGTACCTGGTGCAAGAAAGCTTATTTAACAACTCTGGGCCAGGCACGGTGGTTTATGCCTATAATCCCAGCACTGTGAGAGGCCAAGGTGGGAGGATTGCTTGATCCCAGGAGTTTGAGACCAGCCTGGACAACATAGTGAGACCTCATCTCTACAAAAATATTTTTTAAATTAGCCAGGTGTGGTGGCACACACCTATTGTCCAAGTTACTTGGGAGTCTGAGGCAAAAGGATCACCGGAGCCCAGGAGATTGAAGCTGAGGTGAGCTGTAATCATACCGCTGCATTCCAGCCTGGGTGACAGAGTGATACTCTGACTCAAAAAACAAACAAACAACGAAACAACTCTGTTTGTGTGCATTCATATAATACATGTTATAACATAAAACTTAATTGACAACAACTCTGTGTATGTGTGTGTTCATTCTATGTAACATACCAGTGTATGCATACACACATATGTGTATATATTGTTGTTGACATATTGATGCGATATCTCAACCATATTGGTTGATATCAATAGAGAGAAAAAATATAAAAATCATAAAGATGTAGAGAGGGTAAGAATGGAACCAGTTATATGGTATACAAAATACCTCGAAAGATAGAACCTAAATGGATAAACAGAAATAAAGGAGAACATAAAGTAAGAGCATAATTAATGAAAAGAGAAAAAGCAACACAGGAGACAAGAAAAATCAGGGAGAAAGAAGCTCACAGAATCAAAGAGATAGAGATAGAAATGCATAGAGGCAAGGCAATAGGCAGAAAAATGAGAAGTAAGGAGAATGCAGTGTGGCAAGATAGGAAAAGATAGAGCAAGTCTCTGTTGGATATGAAGGGTACTCATTGGAGTAGTAGTCTCAGCACATCTGCTGAAATAGCATGACCATATTGAAGTGTGTTTCCTGGTTCCCCCATCACTGTCTATAGTCTATCATTCCTTTAATTGTCTTCAGTGTTCTGTGAATCCAAAGCTCTTCAAATGATCACAGAAAGAGAGAAGAGATGCCACCCATTAACATGTGATGGAGAAGCTAATTATATTATTTATCAATTATCTTTGTTTTCTTACCTATATAGAAGGAAAACTCTTTCTTCTTTTCCTTGTCTTGCACAAAAAAATATGCACACACAAATACGTACACAGACATCACACACACAGACTTGAGCATAGACTCTGGTTGCCTTCAACAGGCTTAAGGAAGACAAAAGGAAAAGAAGAGTTGGGCTCCTGAGTGGAGAGAGAAGACAGTGAGTGAATAATGTAAGGAGAAAGAATGTAAAAAAGTAGACTGGGGTCACCAAATGAAAAGATATTGAGTCAACCTCAAGTTTTTCTAAGTGAACAAAGTATCCAAATACTCTTGGTAGGGGAGTTTTGTGGAGGAAGAGAGAGAATTTTCAAGATACCTCCAGAAGTTGTTCCAGAAATATGAAGATAAATACAGTGACTGATTGCAGACTTGCAATATAGAATGCTCATAGGGAACTGGTAATGGTAATAGAGCTGGCCATGCAGTCATTTGGTGACAATGAGAGTAGTAATCTGTGAGATGAAGCTGACTATAAATGAAGAAAATATGGATGAAGACAAGATTGAAACTGTAAAAACAGTCAAAAGATCAAAATAAGACTGAGAGAAACAGAGCTAGGAGAACAGAAAGGGGAAGTGATAGTTGAAAGAGGATCACCTCAATAATAAGGCTAGATCCAGAGACAAAAACATAGGAAAATAGGTGGAATGAGATACAGGGGCTGATAAATGGAGAGGTGTAATAGATGAGGCATAATAAGAACTATGTAAAGAAAGTGTTAAAAGTTAGAAGGGAATTGGAAGAGAAAAAGGGAAAGCATAAAAGAGAGAGAGAGGAGATCAATGGAGAAATTGTGGGATCTGAGATGACTATGAGGCAAAACAAGTTTGGCACAACTGTCATGAGTTTTCAGAGTAAGGTGTTCCCAGTATCAAAATTGCCCCTCTAGCTCATCCAGATTGCACAAGAGCTCACCCAGGCGTTTCAACCACTTCTATGCCACTACCCACAACCTAATGATTTCTAAACATATATCTCCAGCCAGCCCTGTCTACTTTTCTCCCTTGCCCAAGCTGGAGTGCAGTGGCACGCTCATAGCCACCCCAGCATCAACCTGCTGGGCTCTGGCGATCCTTCCGCCTCAGCCTGTCAAGTAGCTGGAACTACAGACGCGCGCTACCACGCCCGGCTAATATTTTATTTATTGTAGAGACGAGGTCTTGCCAAGTTGCCCAGTCTGGTCTCGAACCCGCAGGCTCAGGGAATCCACTCGCCTCGGTCTCCCAAAGTGCTGGGATTACAACCCTGTCTTCTAAACTTCTAAAGTCACGCATTTGGGCGGCAGAAGGCCTCTGTCCAGGGTCCTGAAGTCCTAGCCTTTCCACTTGGATGTTTCACAAGGTCTCCAAATTTCAAACCCAACGTTTCAAAACTGAGCACATCATTTCCCCCCTAAAACCAACCTCTGCTCCTCCACTGTTCTCTATAACTAAAACGCATCACTAATTGACCCTTTATTTCAAGTTGATATTCTCGCAGTCATCCGTGAAAGGAAGGGACAAATACAGTGAGGAACAACAAAAGAGAGATTTCAGTAGCAGTAGAGAGGGGATAGTCACTAATGTTGGCAAAAGGAGGGACTTTGGAGGGGAGAGGTCACAACTGGAATTTTTTACAAATCACAGTTTAGGATCAGAGCTACAAGGACCTGAAACTGAGGAGTATTCCTTATCATTTGTTTTTCAAAAGGTGTGCCAAGACGTCAAGAAGCAAGGACTGAAAGTAGGCAATCATCTGACATGATGGGTAAGGCTGTCAAGGATCTTGGGATGGAAGTGGCTCTGTGAATACCATAGACACTGGATAGGGCTGTGGGGGTGATCAAAGTTCAAGGAGAATATCAAGCAGCCTGTGACGCACCAACAGGAAGTGGGACCACAGGTCCCAAGCTGCAGAGTTTATAAAGTCTAAAATTAGAGCACCTAGGTCCTGTTGCACTTGACTCTACACACACTGTGATAAGGAACAAGTTCAATCCACATCATAATTCTGTTTTCTACATTTGTTAGCATGAACTTTTGGGGGAACTGTGGGGAGATAAGAGGTCATTATAAAGTCATCTTTAAAAAGATGGATTTTCTTGGTTATATATGAGTGATACAGTAGAAATACAATGGTAAAAATTGCAATCTCACCTGAGCCCGCGGGTAGCGAGACCTCATCTCTACAATAAATCAAAAAATCAGCCGGGTGTGGTAGCGCATGCCTGTAATTCCAGCTACTCGGAAGGCTGAGGCGGAAGGATCACCGGAGCCCAGCAGGTCGAGGCTGCGGTGGCCGGGAGCAGCCACTGCATTCCAGTCTGGGCGACAGAGTGAGACTCCAACTCAAAAAAAAATTGCAATCTCATTTACTATATTAGCATATCAATTCTAATATATTGAACTTAGTGATTTCCACCATTCTCCTTGGAACAAAGAAAGCCATGTTCTTCCACTGGCAGATGATATTGTCACTTTGTCACAACCTGGAAAGACCTAAAAAGACAAATGATCCTGCTATCTGTCAGGAAGAAGACCTCAGATAACTACTCTTAAACTAAAAATGTATAGTTTTGAATCCAGCATGTTATTGATTTATTAGTGCTTTCCTATTAACTTTTGTTATAAAATATTTACTTTTTTTGCCATAAAATATTTAAAAACAGGATAACTGTTGCTATCCCTGTTTTGTAAATGAAAAAAAAATGGTGCATGTAAGTAATTAAGAGCTTTTTCAAAGTCTCAGAGAACTAAAGGAAGATCTTAGATATCAATTCAGTATCTGCTTATTTCCTTTAGAAGGAAGATAGAGAGGTGATACTCAGAACTTTGTTATAAACTCAAGCCTTCCACACAGAAGGCTTGTGAATTATAATGAGATTTGTAACTTTTATTTATAAATCACAGTTCTCTGACCACCTCCTGTCACTTTCTAGATACCATGGACATTGAAAATAATTCTACTTTGGAAAAACACAGTGAGAAAAGAAGTAAGAATGAATAAAAATTTACTTGATTTTTGCTAAAATGTACTATTTTTTAATGCTCAGGTTTATCTTAATTTTCCATTCCTTTCGTAAGACAAAAAAATAAATGCCTTGTAAAGTAGCAATGTACTTTTTTCAAAATGCTCATATTTTCATGTTGCTTACTATTCGGTTTTTAAAATTCATGTTTTTTGTGGACATTGGTGTTATTCTTTTCAGATTTTTCTATGCATGCATTAGTATATTTTGGGATATAGTTTTATTTTTGTAAATTGAGTAATTCTATACATGCTTTTCTTTTTCATGCTTTTTAAACTGATATATCATACCTAGATAATAAAAGCATGTAATGTTTATAATTGAAATATAAAAAGTTTCATTTCAGGGCTGCTTTAAAATGCATTGTTTTCACTTTTTGTGTAATCAGGAATTTTTCATTTTTTATTGGTCATTTGTTTTTCTTCTTCATAGTACTCTGTTATAGAATGCTGTCAGTGTTTCCTGCTGTGGACTTTGTCTTTTTATTACTATACTGAATGAATATACAAATGTTTATATGTTATACATGTATATATAAACTTGGTCATCATGTTGCTAATATTTTTCCCATTTGTTTTTCTTCTAGGCTTTTTGAGGGAATCTAGAGAAGTTTTAAATTTTTAGGCAGTTAAATTTGTCAGCTTTTTCTCACTCATTCCTGGGTTCATATTATGTGTACAATAGCCATTTCTTTCTCAAGATTTCTATATTGTTTCAAATACCTGATCATTTTTAATGTTTGCATATATAACCCACATGAGATTTGCCTCTTTGTGTATATTAGGTGGGAATTTCAAAAGTACTCTCTACACTATTGCATCATGATGTGACTCACACTTACATCACATGGTGCCCTTACGTGTTTACAGTATATGTTTTTTCTTTGTAACTGATGGGACTACAGAAGAGAAAGGAGAATTCAGAGGTAGAACTGTCCTGATGACTCACTAGAGGTGAATTTTAGTATGAACTCAAGAAGAACTCCCCTACTCACTTCCAAGTCCATTGGAAACTCTGATTAGAAATGCATTGAATTTTACCTTTTTATTCGTGTCTTATTTAGGGTTCTTCCACTAAACGTTTTTTTGGTACAACTCTTGCAGTTTTGAAAAGCTTTAGATGGTTGTATAAATTTTTGTTATTATGAATATCTTTTTTTCCCATTATGTAACAACTATAGTGAATTTACATTAGATAAGACTCTCAAAATCACCACTTAAATAGGAAATCTATAATCATTTTATTTTCTAAGTGCATGTGAGGAGATCAGAATGCCACTGATTTAATATAAATCTCAGGAGAATTTATACAGTTTAGGGATCCAGACATCACTTAAAATATTATGGCCAGGCCCCAAAATTATCAAGTAATACAACCAGTCAGAATCACAGATTTCTTTGGAAATGATTTCATGAGAAGTGGCAAGAATTTCTATTTGGGTTGAGTGTTACAAGACCCCTCCAAATAACTCTACCAAGGACAAGTTTATATTGACAGAAAGCAAAATAAATTGGTAATGGTTATGAATAAACATGTATCTCCATATTTTACAAGAGAATAAAATTGATCTTCTTGAAAATTTTTCAATTTAACACTTTGTCAAATCAGATTCAAGGTGTAGGATCATAACATCAGCAAAGAGGGATAACTTCACTTCTTCTTTTCCTATTTGAATACCCCTGATTTCCTTCTCTTATCTAATTGCTATTGCTAGGACTTCCAACACAATGTTAAATGTGAGAGTGGGCAGCCTTATCTTGTTACAGTTTGCAGGGGAAATGCTTTGAGTTTCTGTCCATTTAGCAATATGCTGGCTGTGGGTTTATCATAGATGGGGCATACTATTTTGAGGTATGTTCCTTCTATGTCTAGATATTTGAGGGTTTTTGTCAAGAAGAGATACTGGATTTTATCAAAGACTTTTTTCTGCATCTAATGATATAATCATGTAGTTCTAGTTTTTTACATCTGTCGATGTATTAAATTATATTTACGGTAGTCTGGATGTTGAACCAGTCTTGTATCCTGAGGATGAAGCCTCTTGGTCATGGTGGATGATTTTTGAGATGTGTTGTTGGATTCGATTTGCTAGAATATTGTTGAGGATTTTTGCATCTATGTTCATTAGGGATATTAACTGGAGTTCTCTTTTTCGTTGGATCGTTACCCGGTTTGGGTACCAGTATGATGTTAGCTTCATAAAAGGATGTGGGAAGAATTCCATCTTTCTCAATTGCCTGGGATACATTCACCAGATTGGTATCAGCTCCTTCTTGTATGTTTTGTGGAATTCCCCTGGAAAGCCAACTGGTTTTTTTATGTAGATTTTTCTCTTAACGACGGAGTCAATTTTCTGGCTTGTTATTGGTCTCTTTAGTGTCTCAGTGTCTTCTTGTTTCAACCTTGGGTGGTTGTGTGATTCAGAAAGTCCCCCATTTCGTTTAGATTGTCGAGTTTGTTTCCATACAGGTGTGCATAGCGGTCTCTGATAATCTTTTGTATTTCTTCAGGGTCAGTTGTGGTTTGATCTTTTGCATTTCTGATTGTGTCTATTTGGGCTTTTTCTTCGGTTTTTCTCTTGGAGAGTCTGGCTAGGATTCCATCAATCTTGTTTATTCTTTCAAAGAACCAGTTTTTGTTTTTTCGTTTTGTTTTTTTCTATATTTTTGTCTTCTATTCCCTGTATCTGGGCTTTTACTTTGGTGGTCTGGATTCTTCTGCTAAAGTTAGGGTTTTGGGAGTCTTGTCTTTCCAGTTCCCTTAGGTGATTTGTTAGGCTGTTAACTTGTGATCTTTCCATTTTCCTGATGTGTGTTCATAGAGATTTAAATTCCCCTCTTAGGGGTTGGTATTCTCATTTGCTGTCTTGCTGTGGCTATTGGTATCTCCTGTGTCTGGATAGTCATATCTCTGGTGAGATGGAGAAAATTTTCTTGGATAACCTCCTGGAATACTTGCTCCAAGGTGTTCTCCCTTTCTCTTTCTTCTTTTGGGATATCAATCAGGCATAGGTTCGGCCTTTTGATAGAATCACACATCTCTTGGCTTTGTTATTTTTTTCTGAGTTTTCTTTCTATGTTTTTTCCAGATCGGGTTAATTCCATGTTTTGGTCTTCAAGTTCTGAGATTCTGTCTTCTGGTTGATTGACTCTGCTTTCCGTGCCTGTCATCTGGTCATTTATTTCCTGGATGAAGTTTTTTATGATCAAAATCTCTGTTACAAGTTCTTTCAGTGTGCATCTTGTCTTTCTTGAGTCGTAGTCACTTTTCCATCCATTCCCTATTTCCGTTGTATTCTGGGGCCAGTCATTGGTGACTTCCATTGTTTGGGTTCTGAGATCTGATTTGTTAGGCGATTTCTCCTTGCTACACTGGGAATTACCTGTAGATGTCCACTGATTTTTCCTCGTTTGTGACAGACCTTTTTCTTTTCTCTTTAGTTTCATTATTCAGTGGCAGTGGGAGAGGCTTTCACTTCTAATATTTGCTCAGCCCTCTACTCTTCTCTGATCAGGGTTCTGAATTTGTTATATTTTGAAAGAAGGTTGTAGGCGGGAAGCTTTGCTGCCTCTTGTAGTTTTGAGAGTCAAATAAGGTGGAGGATGGAAAGCTAGGATTCAGAAACTACTTGCAAATCACAATGATTGTGGTATGGGTTCCCTGAGACCACTCCTCATTATCACTCTATATGATGATGCAATGGTTACATGTGTGTACTCCCTGAGTCCAAGTTACAGTAGCAGCAATGAGGAGAACAGAGAAAAGTAGAATGAAATAAGATGGACAAAAAAATTTTTTAATTTTTTTAAACATAGAAAAACAAAAGCAGAAACCAACGTCAAAAACAATTAAACACATACACATACACAAACTGAAACCAAAACAAATTGGGGGAGAAAACAAAGCAAAAAAGAAAAAAAGAAAAAAACGGGAAAACCGAACACATACACACACACCCAACACAAAACAGAAAAAAGAAAAGAGAAAAAAAAATGAATTCAAATTGAACCCTCACACATACACCAAACTAAAAAAAGAGAAGGAAAAAACCCAAAACAAACAAACAGAAAGATGAGCACTCAATCATTCACATACACACATAGGCAGAAAACAAAAACCGAAAGAAGAAAGAAAGAAAAAAAGAATAAAGAAAAAGAGAAAAAAAAAGTTGGGGGCTATCCAGATCAAATTCTCACATACACATTCATGCACAAAGGAAAAAAAAAAAAATTAAAAAACAAAGAAACAAACAAAAAAACCCAAAGAACAAAAAACAACCTGCCCTCTTGTGGCAGGTCCTGTAATTGTTCCTCTTAGTTGCTCACAGGTAAGCCCCTCTGCTGTGTTCTGTGGGACTGTGGCCTCATTCACAATGTGCCCATGTCCCACCCAGGTAAGGAGGAGGTGATGGGGTGGGATGGGGCTTCAGTCCTCCCCTCTTACTCTTGTATGGTCAGGGGGATCCCCTCCAGTGGTGAAGTGTGGGATTTTCTCTTTCCCAGGTGCTGGCAGGGGGCACCACAGCCAGGCTTACCCTGGAGTAGAGTCCTCCTATCGTGGTCGATGTCCAGGCCTGCCTGGGATCATCCCTCTTAGTCATGCTGCAGCCATGTGGATCTGATATTCAGAGGATTGCTGGGGAGGAGGGTGTTGGGTCAGACCCGAACTCACTGCTGATCTCTTCAAGGGTCTTCCTCATCTTTTTCTGGTCACACCCTTTGTCCCACGGTTGAATCAGGGTAGGGGGTGGGGTGCCCAAGACTCAGCACTCATCCTGTCCCTCTGGAGTTTGTGCTTTTGAGATATTCTCTTTGGAATATCAACCCCTGAGTAGTTAACCCACCATCACAAAGTTTGGGTCTGTCGGTCTATGGTGAGCAAGCTGAAGCACTTCCCTGCCCAGTTTTCAAGATGGTGACAGGGTGCCTGTTTCTTCTTCTTCTTCAGTGGGACTCTGCCTCTGG